CGACGCAGTCCTCCTCCAGTGCCACCACCACACAGCGGAGTGGCAGCTCCAGCCGGAGCAATGGAACTGCCAGCACTGCCGAGAGGAACGGCAAACGGAACAAACCGGACTTTCTCTTCTCGACGCAGGCGGAGAAGCTTATTCAGGACTTTGAGGATGGGCAGGAACAGGGGCAGGGACTGCAGCCGCAGTTCAACAGCACCGCCGCCACCACGCCCAACTGCACTGCCTCCTCCTCGATGGCCAACTTTCGAACGCTCATTTCGACGACGCCGGCCAGTGTTACCGTGGCGAAGACGGTCAGAACGATTGAAGAGGTGGTGGCGAAGAAGCAGGCGGAGGTGATTGACATAATTGATGATGAGGAAGAAGAAGAAGCGGAGAAAACAGGGGAAACAGTGGAAGAGGAGTCGAGTCCCGAGCTGGTGGAGGAGATTGAGGTGGTGAAGAGGAAGAAGAAGACGACAACGACGACGACAACAGCAGCGACAAAGTCGGCGGCGAGCAAGGCCAAGGGTCGAAAGGCTTCGGCAACTGCCTCTGTTTCCTCCGCTTCTTCGACCACCTCATCGCGCACCTCAAAGCGCTCCAAAGCCTCGGTCGTCTCGAGTGTTCTGGGCACTGGTAAGGNGAAGATGCGGGCTGAGGCGCTGGCTGCAGCTAAGGGAGGCGGTCGACAGCAGCCGACGCCCAGCAAGCTCGCCCAGGTGCGCACTTCCTCGAAGCGGCTGCAGAAGAAGCTAAATGAGGACGAAGTGGAGGGAATCAAGGAGGAGGAGGAAAGCCTCTCGCCGATCAACCGAAGCAGTCGAAAGCGAACTGTCCGGGCGATCAGTGATGATGAGGAGGAGGAGGAGGAAGAAGAGGAGAATGAAGAAGAAGTTCACGACAGTGGTGCTGGACTAAGCAATCAGCCGACGTTGAATTTGAATAATCAGCGAAGTGCTACTACCACGACCACCAGCAACAGCAACAACCTGCCCACCTACTCGACCTACTCTGCCGGCGTCATGTCCACCTACCCTGATGAGGAGGAAACTTCAATGGAGGACGATGAAGAGCAGCAGGATGAAGAGGAGGAAGGTGATGAGGAGCAGGAGGAGGAGGACAGCATCGACGACTACATCGGCGACAGCATCGAGGATGAAGAGGAGGAGGAGGAAGAGCTGGGCGAGCTCACACAGCCGCTCGGCCACTCTACCATCATTGAACGTACTTCAGCGGCCGAAGAGGAGGTGGTGGAGGCTCCAAAATCATCAGCGAAACCTCCCTCGCAAAGACCACCGCTGCTGATGCTGTCCGGCTTCACGGACGACGTTCGAGAGCGGCTGGCCACCGACCTCGAGGCGAAGCTCGGCGTGGCCGTCCACCGCTCCCCCACCGTCCTCCACCCGGTGACGCACCTCATCCTCCGGGAGCCCTACGCCACGGAGAAGACCCTCTCTGCCATTGCAGCCGGCGTCTGGCTGCTCGTGCCCGCCTACGTGGAGCGCTCGCTGGAGGCGGGCCGCCTGCTGCCTGAAGCGGACTTTGACTGGAGCGCCCAGGACCTGTCCAGCTACTCCAACTCGAGCAGTCGACGGCGGCTGATGCTGGCCAGTGCTGTCTGGCGACGGTACATTACCGACCGCAACACTGATGGAAACGGCGGCGTCTTCAGCGGCTGGCGGACGCTGCTGGTCACCCGCTCCGCCTGCATGGACAGCATGGCGAAGATTCTGGAGGCAGGCCGGGCAGAGGTGCTCTGGCTGGAGGAGCAGTTCAAAGG